GCTCTCGGGGAACAAGAAGCTTGGAGCCTGATCCACGCGCTGGTGCCTCCAGCGCAGCTCCACGTGGCGAGAATGATCGGCAAGACATTGTGGCGCAAGCGTAATCGCTTGCTTCCGAGCGCGATGCCGCGCTACAAAAAGTTGCCGACCTCAATGCTCGAGGACGTGCTCTGGAGGACACCCTCCATCACACGACTGCGCGTATGTCCGCGCAGACAGCTTCGAAGCCGAAACAACGCGCCGTAAAGCTCGAAGTCCCCAAGTATGGAGGACTTGCCTCCCACCAACTGCTTTGTTGGATCAAGCAAGTACGTCGTGCCGCGGATGCTTTGAACATCGATGACGATGAGATCCGCGTGTCTTTCGCCATGTCGTACCTTACCGGTCGTGTGGACGATTGGGCCTGGGGCCTAACTTGCGAAGACGGCTTCGTGTTTGCCAATTTCGATAATTTCATCGAACAATTGAAGGCAGCGTTCCTGCTAGCGAACAGCGACTTCCGGTATCGCGCGGAGTACCTATCTGCCATCTGCCAGGCAATGCAAGCGCTCTATTCGTGAGTACGTCCACGATCTGCGCTTCCTTGCGTCCTGTGTCACCCAGAAGTCTTCGCTCTCCGAAGAGGCTAAGGTGGCTATCTTTATGAACGGCCTCAACGACTCAGCTGCGCGCACGCAGCTCTTTCGGACATATCCTTCGACATTCGAAGATGCCGTCCGCACCGCGCTGGCCGAAGAGTTTTCGGTTCTCCAATCGCGCACCACGACCAAGACCCGCGACCCACATGACATGGAGGTCTCTGCTATGACATCACCCACCACCGACCGTCGTTGCTTCAACTGCAACCGACCGGGACACTTCTCCCGCGAGTGTCGCCAACCACGCCGTGCGCCGACATCCGCTCGTGGTACTGCCGCATCACCTGCACCCCGTTTCGCGCATCCCGTTGTCGATCGCGCACGCGGCGGTCGCGAGTTTCCTCGCGGGCGGGGAAACGGGACTCCTCAGTAGGCGCGAGGCGTCCTGCTGAGGCTACAGAGGGCTTGCCGTTTGATCGTGATGGCATAACACGATCCGCAGGCCCTGCCTCGGACACAGTGATTCTGTGTCAGATCGGAAGACAACCTTCCCGCATGTTGTCCTTCCCCAGTCGTATCTCTGGGTACGACCGTTTGTTCCGCGTC